GCCTGTTCCCACAGGAAGGTCTCCCGATTGAAATCGGAGCCGCTGGGAGGTGGGAGCTCTGTTCACTACACCGACCCGCACTGACCCCGCGATGCTACACCCGCCCGCACTGACTGACGGCGGTGTTTTGGGATCGGGACTACGAAGCTGTCATGGACCTCGTCTCACGGACCCTGACAGCCACTCCAAGAGGCTGTTACTATCAGGTCCCTATTTGTTGGGTGAGAAACCAAAGCTAAGCAGCTGGTAAGCTGAGGCCACGAGAGTCAGGGTGAAGTTCATGGCAAGGAGGCGGGGCTCTATTCCGAAAACTGTAGGAAAGCACAGATGTTTTCTGAGGAGGGGACCAATGTCGGACATCTGTGTTTCAGAAAGATAATAGTTACTGCGTAGTAACTTGAGGATGAGTGAAAGGAGGCTAGCCTAGGACACCAGCCTTTCTCTCCGGCAGGAATCAGATCAGCCTTACCTGCGTGGCTAGAAGGTGACTGGAGGAGCAGCAGGAAGAAGGGGAGGCGGCTGGGCAGAGAGGAGCTCCAGAAACTTGCCATCTTCACTCTCGGGGGACACAGAGCCCCAGCAGGGACGGCCCAGCAGAGGCCCTGGCCTGCAGGCAGGCGGCAGCGGCCTGTCCCACCACTGAAGACGCCTGGGACAGAAGGAGGGCAGTGTTCCCGCCTCCCCCCCTCCTGCAGCTGTGCCCCACGTCATCCTTGCCAGGAGCTCACACAAAGGGCCACAGACCCAGGCGATGACAGGGTTGGCCTGCCCGCACCCTGAGCTACAGAGAGGAGGCTGCCTGGCACCAGCCTCCCTCTCTCCTAGGATCTGACCAGCTGGGGTCGGACCGCTCACTCCCTGGACCTCAGGGAGCGGCTTACCATGTCTCTCCTACCCCCTGTCCTCCCGGTATTAGCCAAGGGGGCGGGATCATTGTTGGCCTTTTAAAAGGAAGGAACCTTGAACCTTCGTTCCCTCGTTCTGATGCCTCATGACTAACTGCCGCCGTCCTCCTCCCGGCTAACGTCCTTTCCTCCTCTGCAAACCCAGGTCCAGGCCTCGTGTCCCACGTAGAGCAGGCCCCTCCGCTTAGTTAGCTTCCTGCCCCCGAAGGACAGTCAAGAAGGTCGGGATAGCGGTGGCCTTGCAGGGAGGGGACTTCCTCTACCCCACGGTTCTTCCCACTCGCCCGATGGTCATATAGACATGAAAAGACAGCAAGAGAACATGGCCAACTTAATTACATATGTGTGCACGGGAACTCCGACACATGAAAGCCAGAGGCCCCCAGGCTGGAGGGGCTCAGGACAGAAAGGTAAAACGAGATGCCGCTGACATTCCAAGCTCGGGCTAGGGCTAGGGAGGCCGGGGCGTCAAGGGGTGTGGCAGGGGTCAGTAACTAGAAGCTTGCCCTGCCCTATAGGAAGGTGAAAGGGTTATCTTTGATCATCTGTTAGCATAGACATGGCCCCTAATTTAAAATCTTCTAGGCAGTTAATGAGGACAGAAGTTTCACAAGGCCACAGGATCTTGGTTGCCTTTAGGTCAAAACAATCCACACACCACTTGAGGTGCTTCCTTCTGATCCCATGCAAGTTGAATGTCAGGAGTTGATAGGCACCTATGCTCAGAGAGGCAAGCATGGGAGGTTAGCAAGGTTAGTAGGTGTCAGCATAGCCAAAGCCAGAACAGACACGTCCCACAGCCTGGCTCCCTCACGTGTCCCACACCCTGGCTCCCTAACATGTCCCACAGCCTGGCTCCCTCATGTCCCACAGCCTGGCCCCCTCATGTCCCACCGCCTGGCCCCCTCATGTCCCACCGCCTGGCCCCCTCATGTCCCACCGCCTGGCCCCCTCATGTCCCACCGCCTGGCCCCCTCATGTCCCACCGCCTGGCCCCCTCATGTCCCACCGCCTGGCCCCCTCATGTCCCACCGCCTGGCCCCCTCATGTCCCACCGCCTGGCCCCCTCATGTCCCACCGCCTGGCCCCCTCATGTCCCACCGCCTGGCCCCCTCATGTCCCACCGCCTGGCCCCCTCATGTCCCACCGCCTGGCCCCCTCATGTCCCACCGCCTGGCCCCCTCATGTCCCACCGCCTGGCCCCCTCATGTCCCACCGCCTGGCCCCCTCATGTCCCACCGCCTGGCCCCCTCATGTCCCACCGCCTGGCCCCCTCATGTCCCACCGCCTGGCCCCCTCATGTCCCACCGCCTGGCCCCCTCATGTCCCACCGCCTGGCCCCCTCATGTCCCACCGCCTGGCCCCCTCATGTCCCACCGCCTGGCCCCCTCATGTCCCACCGCCTGGCCCCCTCATGTCCCACCGCCTGGCCCCCTCATGTCCCACCGCCTGGCCCCCTCATGTCCCACCGCCTGGCCCCCTCATGTCCCACCGCCTGGCCCCCTCATGTCCCACCGCCTGGCCCCCTCATGTCCCACCGCCTGGCCCCCTCATGTCCCACCGCCTGGCCCCCTCATGTCCCACCGCCTGGCCCCCTCATGTCCCACCGCCTGGCCCCCTCATGTCCCACCGCCTGGCCCCCTCATGTCCCACCGCCTGGCCCCCTCATGTCCCACCGCCTGGCCCCCTCATGTCCCACCGCCTGGCCCCCTCATGTCCCACCGCCTGGCCCCCTCATGTCCCACCGCCTGGCCCCCTCATGTCCCACCGCCTGGCCCCCTCATGTCCCACCGCCTGGCCCCCTCATGTCCCACCGCCTGGCCCCCTCATGTCCCACCGCCTGGCCCCCTCATGTCCCACCGCCTGGCCCCCTCATGTCCCACCGCCTGGCCCCCTCATGTCCCACCGCCTGGCCCCCTCATGTCCCACCGCCTGGCCCCCTCATGTCCCACCGCCTGGCCCCCTCATGTCCCACCGCCTGGCCCCCTCATGTCCCACCGCCTGGCCCCCTCATGTCCCACCGCCTGGCCCCCTCATGTCCCACCGCCTGGCCCCCTCATGTCCCACCGCCTGGCCCCCTCATGTCCCACCGCCTGGCCCCCTCATGTCCCACCGCCTGGCCCCCTCATGTCCCACCGCCTGGCCCCCTCATGTCCCACCGCCTGGCCCCCTCATGTCCCACCGCCTGGCCCCCTCATGTCCCACCGCCTGGCCCCCTCATGTCCCACCGCCTGGCCCCCTCATGTCCCACCGCCTGGCCCCCTCATGTCCCACCGCCTGGCCCCCTCATGTCCCACCGCCTGGCCCCCTCATGTCCCACCGCCTGGCCCCCTCATGTCCCACCGCCTGGCCCCCTCATGTCCCACCGCCTGGCCCCCTCATGTCCCACCGCCTGGCCCCCTCATGTCCCACCGCCTGGCCCCCTCATGTCCCACCGCCTGGCCCCCTCATGTCCCACCGCCTGGCCCCCTCATGTCCCACCGCCTGGCCCCCTCATGTCCCACCGCCTGGCCCCCTCATGTCCCACCGCCTGGCCCCCTCATGTCCCACCGCCTGGCCCCCTCATGTCCCACCGCCTGGCCCCCTCATGTCCCACCGCCTGGCCCCCTCATGTCCCACCGCCTGGCCCCCTCATGTCCCACCGCCTGGCCCCCTCATGTCCCACCGCCTGGCCCCCTCATGTCCCACCGCCTGGCCCCCTCATGTCCCACCGCCTGGCCCCCTCATGTCCCACCGCCTGGCCCCCTCATGTCCCACCGCCTGGCCCCCTCATGTCCCACCGCCTGGCCCCCTCATGTCCCACCGCCTGGCCCCCTCATGTCCCACCGCCTGGCCCCCTCATGTCCCACCGCCTGGCCCCCTCATGTCCCACCGCCTGGCCCCCTCATGTCCCACCGCCTGGCCCCCTCATGTCCCACCGCCTGGCCCCCTCATGTCCCACCGCCTGGCCCCCTCATGTCCCACCGCCTGGCCCCCTCATGTCCCACCGCCTGGCCCCCTCATGTCCCACCGCCTGGCCCCCTCATGTCCCACCGCCTGGCCCCCTCATGTCCCACCGCCTGGCCCCCTCATGTCCCACCGCCTGGCCCCCTCATGTCCCACCGCCTGGCCCCCTCATGTCCCACCGCCTGGCCCCCTCATGTCCCACCGCCTGGCCCCCTCATGTCCCACCGCCTGGCCCCCTCATGTCCCACCGCCTGGCCCCCTCATGTCCCACCGCCTGGCCCCCTCATGTCCCACCGCCTGGCCCCCTCATGTCCCACCGCCTGGCCCCCTCATGTCCCACCGCCTGGCCCCCTCATGTCCCACCGCCTGGCCCCCTCATGTCCCACCGCCTGGCCCCCTCATGTCCCACCGCCTGGCCCCCTCATGTCCCACCGCCTGGCCCCCTCATGTCCCACCGCCTGGCCCCCTCATGTCCCACCGCCTGGCCCCCTCATGTCCCACCGCCTGGCCCCCTCATGTCCCACCGCCTGGCCCCCTCATGTCCCACCGCCTGGCCCCCTCATGTCCCACCGCCTGGCCCCCTCATGTCCCACCGCCTGGCCCCCTCATGTCCCACCGCCTGGCCCCCTCATGTCCCACCGCCTGGCCCCCTCATGTCCCACCGCCTGGCCCCCTCATGTCCCACCGCCTGGCCCCCTCATGTCCCACCGCCTGGCTCCCTCATGTCCCACAGCCTGGCCCCCTCATGTCCCACCGCCTGGCCCCCTCATGTCCCACCGCCTGGCTCCCTCATGTCCCACAGCCTGGCTCCCTCTCTGAGTCCTCAGTGTCACAGTGAAAGAGATGTCGGATGGGCGTGTTTCCCTTACCCCCTGAGATCAGCCCAGATGAGGGTCAGCATATCGGTGGCACCCTGCGACCACAGGGCTGTGCACACCAGGTAACATGTGCCCCTGGTGAAGCTGCGAGCACGCAGTGAACAGTCGCTTGGCAGGTGGCTGCCTGGGATCAGTGGTGCATAAGTGCTCCTGATGCTATGTGAAATATATCGCACACAAATGAGAGAGCTCCATTGTACTCTTAAAAATTGGTCCTTTTTTATTTCTTTACACATTTGCTTCTGTTTCAAAATCTGAAGGTATAGAATAATATACTTTGAAACATTTCCCTCCCAGCCATGTAGAGCAAGTTCGGTTTCCTCTGAACCCTGCATGTGTCTGCACTGGGAGGGCGACAGGAGGCCGTCCTGGGGTGAGGACTGGGACTGCACCCCACTCCTCCTTTTCTGTAAAAACATGGTAACAAAATGCATGTTGGATATCTTCACATATCAGTGTCTCGAGAACATATTTTATACAGCTACACAATCTTTTATTGCATGAATGTATCATACTTAGTTAACTAGTTTTTCAAGATAGTTAGGTGGTTTAAATTTTTTAGAGGTTTTTTTGTGTGTGTGTGTTTAATTAAATCTTTATTGTTCAGATTATTACAGTTGCTCCTCTTTTTCCCTCATAGCTCCCACCCACCTGGTTCCCACCCCACCCTCTGCCCTTACCCACCCACCACTGTCCTCATCCAAAGGTGTACGATTTTTGTCTAGTCTCTTCCCACACCCCCCAAACCTCTCCCCGTCCCCCGAGAATAGTCAGACCACTCCCTTTTTATGCCCCTGATTCTATTATATTCACCAGTTTATT